ATTGGGGAGCGTAGCGGTGCGTAGCAGTGGGTTAATGGTTGTGCCTAACTTGTGCCAATCACTGACCCATCGCTACGCACAACTACGCTCCCCAATAACGCACTGGTGATGTCAACCCGAATGGTGATGAAACGTTTGAAATCAAATTGCCCAGCTCAGTGAACAAGTCAACGACCATTTCTCCCTTTTAGTGTCAGCTCACCAGAATGATTAGCCCAGGACAGATGGACGACTGCTCAAACGAGGGAGATGTAAGCGTGGATATTCAAGAGAGTGAAATAGTTTTCTGGACACAATGCTACTTATGAGTATGATGAAAATTCTTCAACAGCCCACCACAGGCACCACCCATGAGGGGAGTAAGCGTCACCCAATATACGTGCAGTCTAATCTAGCCACGCGAGAAATAAGAAAGATGGAGGCTCGTTGTGCGAAGGTTTAAGTACACCACAAACAGAATGAGCCTTACTGGCGGACACTTGCGCAATGTCCACAGAGTCCTTCACCAAAATTTTCAAAGTCCAGTATTCTCAAGCTGATCGCCACTGCATTGCGGTCAGAATTTAAAGCCAAAGGGCTTGATTGGTTTGGTCGCTCTTATATCAACGTTTGGTGCCCTTGCAGTACCAGAGCCAACGTATAACCAAACGAAAGTGCCATATCAGTTTGGTGACATGGGCCGGATCGGTGCAAACAGCAGAGTTGATACGCGAAAAGATGCTACTGCTAAAGTCGTTGACTCTTAGTCACAGTTATCTCCAAACCTCCATTCTGTTCAACCGTTTCTGCAGATATCAGCTGTTGACACACCAGTTTTGGCAACTCGCGAGCTACCACAAATAACTACCGCTCCGTGTCCGTTATTCACATAGCAGTTAGACGCCAGTGTGTACTACTAGTGTATGATGGCATCATCTAACTCTACCTGATGAGTCCGAGAAGAACAACAGTGGACTGTTGAAGAGCTTTCACTGTTAATGGTGTCAGGAGGTTTGGGTTTTTTGTAGAGAATTCTTCCTTTAAGTGAAGCCAATCTATGTTGAACAGTCGAGAAGCACTGTACAGCTGCTTCAACCTTACTCGGAATCCTCAGCAGCGTGCATCTCACGAAGCTCCAGAGAGTCTCGAACCCGCGACCTCCCGGCTAGTAGTTCAAACGCTCAACCATTCGGCCACGGGCGGCTGATCAGCAGTGTGAGTAACCCACAAGTGCGAGTTAATCAGGATATAGAGCCGCCCATCCTTCAATCACGGCATACACATCACGCGGTCACACGTGTTGACTGGCTCCTCGAGCAACGACTTCTCAGATGGAAGTTTCACTCATCGGGTAAAGTTTATTCTTCATTTCATTCTTCATTTTATTTCGTGAAGCACAAGAGTTTTCCTTTTTTCCATGAAGCAAACTACTCACAAGGTTTCTGAAAACTCTTCGATAGTGCACGACCAGTTTCGCTCTTCTTGGGGTTTATCAAGTAGGCACAGAAAATGAGTGTATTTGTCGGAATGGTACTTTCTTATTTGAATATCTCTCTGGTCACCTGGATGTTCCTGATGATGGGGGAGTGTTTTATCACGTGACTACAAGGGAACACAAAAATCTTTCCGCAAGGATTATTTCTTTTCATATCCGTAAGTTACATTCATGGAGTACTGATCAAAGCGCTGTTCACTAACTGATTTTCTGAGCATGTTAGTGAACCACAGGAAACGCACAGTGGACCGTGACAGTCGGATAGGTCATTTGGATCGAGACAACCCTGTGGGATGCATCGGAATGGGACCCAAGTGCTATTCTTCTCTGGATTAACATGCTGTGGAAGTCCGTGTTTGTTTGGCTACCAACTCGCTTTATTAAACAAGTTTCAATTGATAACTCTTGTCTCAGCCATGCTTCTTGCTCCTGACCATGCGTCCTCCTTCCTGTTTGCGTATGTCAGTGATCAACTCTCGGTTCATCCTCCAGTCACTCCGACTTGGTTTCACCCGACTGATCGTTCCTTGAACAGTCGGTCGATCGATTCCTCAATTTACTTGTCATCATGTGATCACAAACGAGTTATAAACCGATGAATATCTGAAACCCCAAGAGAAACATCTCAAGGTTTTATATTTTGATGAGCAGCTGATTGAACTGCACCATACTCGCCATCGTCCAAGAAGGCCTGCACTAGCTTCAGCTCCGATCACCAGAAACACTTATCTGTTGCAGTTTTGTAAGAAACCGAAAAAGGTGATCAAACTGTCCTTCATACGGACCAGTTTTGTGTTTCACAAAATTTACGCTAAAAGTTCCGATGCTCTTCTGCCGCGTCGGACCGGTGAATTGATACTCTGAATAATGTAAGACCTCCACGAAACGCCAGTCGTAGAGATAAACTGGAAGGCCTTTATTTCATCTGACACCTCTTTATTCGCACTCGACTACTTTGTAAGTTCTAGGTGAGGAGAGTGAGAAACTGTTGACGTCGCCTTTACCCTGATAGCTGTGCAACCGTGTCTCCGCCCTATACAACCAGTTTTTTTTCTTTTCAAGGCGTGTGTGGACTGGCCATATCAGTCACGTCAGTGAACAACGTTGCTAGATTTTATGATCATGTTATCTCAGACTCATAAGCGCAACCCCAACCTATTTGGTGTTTAGCCCTCAGCCCTATTCTCCAGCATCCGTCACGACAAATTCCAGGATGAAGATGATCGGTGGCTGGACTGGGTGGAACCTCGTCCCTACCCTTCGGAGTATGCGAACGCTTCTCAGCTTCCAAGTATGGTCCAAGTGAGTCAGCGAAGCGTGCCCTCCGAAAGAAAATGCCTAAAAGATTCCATAACAAGCAAGACTTGCATCTTACGTGACATCGGTTGGAAAAACTGAGGTGAACCGAAATAAGGAAGCAAAGTTTTCAACTGAGTACACTACTGCGACGGCCTTTTTGCTTAATTGAGTCATCCGTCGACCCCACATAAAGATAGGAATTGAATCCTAAGTTTTAAAAAAACACCGGTAGCCTTCAATGTACCGAAACAGTGAACGTACAGTCACAAACGGATGTCCACTGATGCCTCCCAAGAAGAACTGGACCTCTACTTCTTCGCAACAAAAGGATGCCCAATATTGCTGTTTTTTCTGTCATTTTTGTTCATCCTAGGCATCATCAACAGGAAATCTCCTGTGACCACACACATTGACCATAGTTCACATTTACCAAACTGTTCATAGCATGAGATACTGTACACCTTACCTCAGTTATCGCTGGGTAATCACGATTTGTCAGTTCAAGAAAATTTTAACCGTATCATTTGCGATTATTGTCGACGTCTCCGGTCAGAACCAGGTCAGATGTTGCAAACTGGAGTTCAGAGGAACTTCACTTGCTTTCAGGAGTACGTTGCGCAGAACTTGGGCTGGGCTACGGTGCCTTGGTACTTTATCAACGGGGTCTATAACCCTGCATAGTCAGCTCGCTAGTCCTGTTAACGAGATATCAAAAGACTAGTGACTGCGATGCGTGACTAACAGTCACCTCTGCCGTTGTCACCGAATTCACCGCAAAGACAGCAGATCTTTCCTTTGGCCAGATAGTCCGTCTTCTTCCAAGACAGTTGGAAACAATTAAAGAGGAAATGGAAAAACAAGAAATATAGTTTTAGAGTTGCTTTTGTGAGTGAACAGAATGCGGCTTCCAAATGCAGCCCGAAGGAACACGACTTCTTACACCTACAGGCAGATTTATAAAACACTCATTAAAAGTAATGAGACTTGTGTGTGTGTGTGTGTGTGTGTGTGTGTGTTGGGACCCTTCTTCAGGACCGTGAATGTTTGGCAGACAGAGAAACATAGACATTCGGTGCTTAAATGCCGTGGTTGAGCAATCGTTACCTCTAAAAGAGTGCTGGCTGCAGCAAGCGGATTTTTTTCCAAAGGGAGGGTAAGAAATCGAGCCCAATGACCAAGATTAACAAAGCACTGCATTTCAATCACATTACTCGTGAAAATTCCTACGGGTAAAGGTGGTCCTTACCTGAACTTGTTGGTTGCCTTTCAGAAACGGGTTTTCCAACGAACCTAGTTTCCATGTGAACATGACGTTTCAGCTACCAAGTTTTGAAAAAAAACTTGTAACGAAAATAGTATCACTTGTATGGATGCATCAGGCCACTCTAGTCGTCCCTCCACTCCAGCAAGCTTAAAGGGAAATGTAACCCTTTAAAAAGAGAACCTTTTCTGGGGCCTATTTCTTGTCGTGAGGCATCTGATGGCAAAGATAGTCACTGGAAACCCTCACTCAAAAAAGAAGTACAGCAGACCCGTTATGATCGTTTCCCAGTCTAGAATTTTACTGGATTCTACTGAAACACTCCATTTCAGTAGTGACTCTCATTTGCCTCTTGTCGATTTTCAACCCAGCTGAGGTAGCTTAGATACTTGGCCACGATAACACAGGATAGCTCGGCTTAGACGAGGCCACAGTTAATGAATAGCCAATAGTTTCATATTGATTAAATCAGGTGTTGTCTAAAGTTTTAACAGCTGGTTGTGCTCGACATTCACGCATAAATGACCGCCGGCGACCTAAGTAAGTTTTGCACAGACCGTTCACTGGGCACACAGCCGACGGATAGCCCCCACGTCACTTGTTTACCCATTTTCTCGTTTGGCCCTCCCGGTTCGCCAACATACAACTTGGGTGAATATTTCAAATTAGTTGAGATCCGATGATTGATGTGGTCGATAAGACTATCCGACCTTGGCCGGAGCACCGGCTCAGTGCTATGAAGTTAAGGAGACGTGGAAAAAATGGATGAGGTCCAGAAAAAAAGTCACTCGCACGGTTAATGGCACATGTTGCCAATAAGCTGCGTGCATTATTTTGCTAAAAGTAGGGAGTTTAACACCATATGTTTGGGTGTTCGACGTTTGGAAGTGATTGAGAAGTCTCGGCCGTAGCAGCACCTGACTGCGAGCGGTAAAGAGGGAGTCGCGTGGAGTTCCGCCTAACAATATGTGAATTTTTTAATCAGCTTTATGTAAATAAAGCTCGCTACGATACTCTGTTACGACACAGTGTCCTGCTCAGATACTTACTAGCAAGCTATCTTGATCCATCCACCAAATGTAGATAAAGTAAGCGCATAGGGATAGTTCTGAACGTAAGCAGACGTAAGCAACGTAGAAGCCCGTGGGATACGATTCATTGCAGGTAGTGTACACAGAAAAACACTGTGCTGGTCTTCCAAAGTTAAGGGGAGCCGAATCAGAGAGGAAAGAGGACTTGATCTTCAACGTTAGTAGCAAAATGAGGGTGTCTGGAAACAAAAACAGAATGGGGATTGTGAGTCGATCTGTTCTTCACAAGTTTGGTTTGCACAGAGAACGACCTGGAGCTGAAACGACCTGGGTAGTGTTCATGCTGGTCGCATTCGACTAATCCGTCACCAGCCTACCTATGTGGCGAATGTGTTTTGTTTTCTGAGGGTGTCAGATGGCTAATCCTCCAGTAGTGCTAGAACTGACCATCGAAACCGAACAAAATGCGTTGAGACGCTGAGCACCTCGATGCACTAAGTTCGCAGTGGGGCTGGAGGTGACTTCGTGCGAATGTGACATCGTGTGGATATTTAAGTTGAACAATAACGCCATGCGGGTGCATTTTAGGGTTCCACTTGTTAGTACAGCGAGCCCCGAGTCTACTCAAAGCAGGCAGCATTGGTTTCAACCATAAGGTTGTTGCCATCTGTGTCTGCAAACCCCGCCCTGAATATTCCGGAGTGCTAAGCTCACTACGGTGCTGGGAGTGAAGCTCTGTGGCTATTATTGTATAAACACAATCTGGCCATATATACGCTTAGGATGCGTCTCCTGAGTGGTCCGGACCACCAGGTAACTTTTTGCACGCACTGCACCCGGTTAAATTCACAGTTTGGATCATTGGTAGGGTATTCTGATGGCTTTAGAATATTCGCCCCGTTCACCCTCAAGTCCTAGTTCCTATGGTTTACAGCACATACAGAGCGTCCAATTATATGAACACGGCGCAGACTGCCTGTGGCATTACCTACTTCGTCCATCGAGAAAGAACAGTTAGGAAAACGGGTGCCAGCCCACAATATTATACCCTACCGAGGCGAAACTAAATTTTCTACGATTCTTCCTGAACACGAGCAATGTTTTTCTGTTAGACGCAAGGTAGAGTGTTATCCCGATGAAAAAACAAGTCTCTTGTTTCATTGTTGACCGCTTAGTTCGAGTAAGCCGCATGTCCACGGTTTTTTGCGAAACAGACTACCTGCTCTTGGGAGCGATTCACGCATATTTTATGTGCACTCCTGTTCGTAACTATACATGCAATAGTACGTAATTAATTGCTGACTTTTTCCCCACTCCCAGCTTGATCCCAGTCTAACACTATAAACTGCGTAACAAAGGCGATTGAATTCGGTTGCAACCAGCTGATTGGTGAAGTCGCCTAGAGTGAATCACTTTCCATGGATTCACACATGCGGAGTGAGCAGTGTAGAAACACAGTTACCAACATTGTAAACTGCGTTCTTTCATTTTAGGAGAGTGTGACTCACTAATGCACCTGTTAGCGCCATACATTGCACCGGGATATTGTCGCTCAGGGCACTGCGGTTGTTTTAGGGCAACCGTTAATGAGCCATCTACAATCCATTTATTTGAGGGTCCATCGCCGATACATATGTATTTTGTGTTCCAGGGGTTGCATCAACCCTTGTATGACACCTTGGTAAAAAAAACGCGATAAAAATCATCATAGCCAACAACACACGAGTCTTCACACGTCCATCATACTGCCAGTGTTTATGCGAGCAAATTTTGACAGACACTGAAGTGTCCGGATAGCGCGAAAGTCAGCAGAAAGAGGCGATTCCGGACCAGCCGCGTCAAACACCTCCACATGAGATAGCGCGGGGTGAGGCGGCTGTTGATCCATCCGTACATCAGCCGGTAGCAACGCATGTCACGCGGCCGATGGACCAATAAGGTACGGAGTTCGTCTACCAATCAACATACAGCTACACACCCTGGCGGCCTATCGTCACCGGGCCGGCCTAACCAACGAGTGAACAGTGGGGTAGACCAGCGCTGGTTGGCTGCCAATCAGACTAACACTGTCTACGAGCTACCAGCTAAGCCGTATCGATTGCCCCAGGAATGGGTCAAGGCAGCTGTCCGGCAATACGAATTTTCAGCCATTGCCAACCGGTGATGTTTACAACCTTTGCGCAAGTCAATCAATACTCTCAACTACCTCAGCGGGTGGAATGAATGGCTGTTATGCATGCGAGGAGTAAGTTAGCAATTTTCACATTGACCGTGTTCAGTGAGTAGGCGCTCTAGAGAAACCAGTGGCACAAGGGTACATGCATATGAGTCTAAGGGGTCGAGCGTCAATCAGTGAAGAATAAAATGAGCAATTGGTTCTCTTATTGGAAACAAGTCGGGGTGAGTGTTTGTACCTGGAGGGCGCATACAATGTACTTGAAAATATACGCAGTGTCGATAATGAACAGGCTGCACTCCTACCATGTGCTTGTGAAAGCGCTAGCAAAGTGCGCAATTACACAAGCACCTTGACGAACCAGATTGCCGGTGTGTGAAGTCTTTCCGTCGATGTATGCAACAGATAATCTGTTAGAAAATTAAAAACGAAAACGACCGCGAAAATTTGGTTGAAGAAAGGCCATTTAACTAAACCTCTGAGATGAACTTCGGTGATGAACTACCTGAAAAATACGTTTATCATTCATTTTTTCCGGTAATTCACCTAAATCAGGTGAGCTGGTTTTGGCGTCAATTACTAATCAAACTCACACACACAATGTAATGAAGTAGTGGATTTCACTACTGGGGACTCTCTAATCTTGGGCGATTTCACTAGGCTGACACTGCCTCTGATTCTACTTTTACTCCACTGCACGTGACTACTGAACTTCGCCCAGCAGCGGATCACAATGCATGCAGACGGGTCCGGCTAAGATTCCACCTAATGCAGTGATCCTCCTAGAGAGACACCTCAGATGGGTGCCGGATGGCTCACCACCAACGCAAAGTGCAGCCGCTAGGAAAAAAGACACCTCCCCCAGAACTGAGCACTTCACTCTTGATATCTTTTTGGAAGTAATCCGATGAGTTCACGAAATTTAAGTTATAACTGCGTCCTGGAATCACATTTCCATCATCCGTATGATTTCAAACTCTGTCAGACGGATAAACCCAGCTGTTGCCAGGACTCGTTTTGGAACTCAGTGACGATGCAGAAGATAGGAGCGATTTATAACTTCTTTTGGCTTGATGTTTCACTACCACCCGGATCTTTCTAATTCCAATGTAACATTTTGTTCTTTGCCTTCATGTAGCACTACTTATGAAGTTGATGAAAACCCTTGATTAGCCCACTACCAGGTCTGCTCCTTTTGAGCCTGCCACGTAAATTCAACCGCGAAATCCCATCACTCTTATTTTATACGTGATCACCAAATAGGACATATGTGCGGATGCACACTCATTTTCCAATCCAGATGTTAACGCGAGACTAATCTGGATCTCAGCTAATTGGCTGGTTCATGGTTCTATAATTGTGAGTCAACTTTAAGGTGGAACGTAACTTCAACTCCAGTCTCTGGTGATGGGACCTTTAGGTTGAAACTGGATGTGGGTTAAGCCTCGCTTAGACAGTACTGGCATCCATCCGTATGGCACTGCACTCCTGCACTGCACTCCTATTAGACTGATCGTCTGTACTCCACCGCTTCTTTCGTAGCATCTATTTCACCAGAGTAGAGATATCGTGGTTTCGCGTTTTTATTGACCCTTTAGTGGGTTTATCTGTTGAGTAACGTCAGTTTTTTTATACACCTCGATCGGTGGGGTGGCCTACACAGACGCCTTAAGAGCCAGCTTTCTTCACTTTCAAGGAGACCGGCATTGACTCCGATGGGTCATGCCTGTTTCGCACATCCTCTCTAATAAACGTTTGGGCATTTCGCATAGTCCACACAAAACTGATCTGTAGGTGGTTCTCTTTGGATCACAAACGAACGGTATCCTCACTTTCGAGAAGTACACTCATTTGCAAATCAACTTTGTTTATTTAGAGACTCAACTGAATCTCCCGTTTATGATATTCTACAGCTGGATGTGCTGCACACAGGCCGCCTCATGTTTCAGTTTACCTTCGGGTGACGTGGAAGCTAGGTGCCGAAACGATGTAACAGCCAATAATAATAGAGACATAGATACTTCTGAGTTACCACACAAAGTCATTCAGCACATTATTCTCAGAAACTAAACGGTCCACTGAGATTGACTGATAGAACGTGCCTGATTAGTGCAATCAAATGAGTGGTACAGATACATAACAAAAGAAAAAAACAAGTGAGGATATCTTCATGAAGGAAACTACTCACAAGTTTGCTGAAAACTCTTCGACAGCCCGAGACCGGTTTCGCCCTTCTTGAGGCTCATCAGGTAGGCGCACTTCCCGAGTTTTCCTCAACCTTATGTTGTACCTGAACCCATATTGGATTGTTTTCGAGAAATACACTCATTTGCAAATCAATTTGGTTCTCACGAGAGACTCAACTGAATCTCTCGTTTATGATATTCTTCAACTGAACGTGCTGCTCAAAGGCTGCGTCATGTGAAAACATACTGCGATATCTCGTATATGGTACCAACCGAAACATTAGGCGGCCTGGTGTAGCATATTCAGTTGCTTAGGTAAGTCATAAATGAGAGTTGCAGCTGGGTTTCAGGTGAGTCACCCGTGAAAACCAAATTGATGTGCAAATGAGTATATCTCTCGAAAACAGTCCACTATGGGTTCAGGTACAACATAAGGTTGAGGAAAACTCGGGAAGTGCGCCTACCTGATGAGCCTCAAGAAGGGCGAAACCGGTCTCGGGCTGTCGAAGAGTTTTCAGCAAACTTGTGAGTAGTTTCCTTCATGAAGATATCCTCACTTGTTTTTTTCTTTTGTTATGTATCTGTACCACTCATTTGATTGCACTAATCAGGCACGTTCTATCAGTCAATCTCAGTGGACCGTTTAGTTTCTGAGAATAATGTGCTGAATGACTTTGTGTGGTAACTCAGAAGTATCTATGTCTTTATTATTATTGGCTGTTACATCGTTTCGGCACCTAGCTTCCACGTCACCCGAAGGTATGAGGGCTGAGATACCGCCAGGTTACTCAAGTCTAGATAGAAGTGGTCGGGATGTCCGTATTGGGTTCGAACCACAGACAAACGAATTGGAATCTTCACCTTGTCCCACCAACTACCTGAAATGCGTTTTTTCTGTTATGTTTAACAATAATTTCAGGGACTGTCAGGGAGTTTTCAACAGCCTTATAATTAGTGTGTCATTTCAAGAAATTATCCTCGGTAAAGTAGGGCATGCGGATACCCTATTTAACCACCCACAATCAATGAAGATTACTGACGAGTGACCACCATATGGCGAGACGTATGCCACACAATCGAATCGCGTGTTGCACGTTACCCCGTTATTTTGCCTCGGTTGTATGAGTCATCCATCCTTGCGACATCGAAGTAACTCATGCAGTCCAAGGAAGAAGTTCAGAAACTCTTAGTAAACAACGAATCGCTGCCGTACTACATAGTATATATATGCGACTGTTCTGAGTCAAAACTGCATCAGATGATCAGACTGCTTAGCCATTCCAGTGTTCAGTCGACTTATCACAATTAATGCGTTTGTTGTAATCCTGGGCAGCTCATTACTACAACCAAATCGTCAAACAACACAACGACATTCATCAGTTACAATCAAAACACACTTCTCAGTCATTTCTGACCAGATTTTGTACACCTTCATCCTCAAATGCCGCCTACCGCATGCCTTCTTTCATACGGTAGATGAGAAGTGCGGCAGTCCACGTGAAAACAAATGCAAAAATCGTTCCGCTGTAGCACCCTTTCGGTGCCATGCCACCAGAAGGAAGCACGAGGGCTGAGATACTGGCAGGTCGCCCAAGCCTAGACAGGGAAGTCGAAAGGCAGAAGTCGAGTTCGAACCACGGACCTTCCAGTCAGTAGAGTTGTACTATAATCACTGAGCCATCTCGCCCCCGGCCACAATCCACGTGAGTGTTGCTCGCTTATGGAGCCTAGAGTTTGTCAGTCAATTAAGCTGCCTACCGGAAGCGGACCAATCCACAGTCTTCCTGTGAAGAGGCAATAACAGCATGTTGGTGAAGTGGGTTCTGTGCACCGCTACATCGTCGTGTGTAGAGATCTTGGATCTGAGCTAGTTCATTGAAGTAGAAGAGAACACGAAGTCAGTGAATGCCCAGATGTATGAGTCAGTTGTTTACTTGAATCTCAGAATTTCCAACTGAGTCTTCCTGTCCGTGAATATCGCATCTTAGAGCCACGATAGAACCACCACCACAGGCCGGACGATTGAAGTTCAATTTTTCTCGTCAATCAGTACCTCCTACGCAAAACTTTTTCCTTCAATCAGCGTGCCCAGTGATGTGATTCATGAACCATTTGCTTCTCTCTTGAGGGCGGTCGTAATTGATTCACGGACTTTTCCTTGCTGCTCTTTGTCAGCCGTACACCCTTATCCAAACCGAGAGATCTGTAGCTTCGAAGTACTCATCAGTTAGTTCGAAGCGCCACGCATAAGTCCCTCCTTCGCCATATCGGAAATCACCCCTCCAATTTCATGCTTCTTCGATGTGTATCTTGTCCGGTCGGTGAAAAAGTCGTGGATAACCTTTGCTGACCTATTCTCTTAGCAATCTCGTGGATGTTGCGCACCGAGATTCCGTTCGCCCGTATTTAATTTGCTTAAACTGAGTCAGGGGTGGTCTGTGTGTTATTGCTAAACTTTTCCTACTCAATTACCCATACTCAGGCTTGTATTACAAGCATATGACATGCACGTCCATGCCGCGACCATTATCCACGAAACGAATGGGGCTTTGCTCCACGGGAGCTCATCCACGCGTCCGGTTAAAAAACAGGTTCAAAACAGAATACATACTTTCATCTATCCGGATAGCAAGTGGTTCATGCTGTCTGTTTGAGATCACTCGATAAACAAATGTTTCAAATCCCTTCACGTTTTCGTTTTGGATTGTCTCCTACGTGAGGCACAATTTCTTGACGGCCATCAACCAACTATCCATAGTTGAAGCGCACACCTTTGTCGATGGGCACCTTGACAGCAAGTCCAGTAATGCTCCTGCGTGGCAACTGCATCTTCTCCGAACCAGCCGACTGTTCGACCAGTTTATGTCAGACATTTTGGTTTGTCGCTACCGTAAAGTCCAACAACACGGTTGTTCACCAAGATGAAAATACACTGATTTGCCGCCCGTGCATAGACACTGAGAGCATCAGGTCTCTCGGTTGTGGTAGGCCGATTGTAAGTCCTGATGGAATGGAGCCATCGTAATGTTCCAAGCCAAAGCCCTCTAAGCTTGTGTGCGTAGCTAGGGCAACCAATAGAGTGTGTCAAACTTTCTGAGCCATCACAACTACTAAAATTTCAAGCCCCCCATAAAGGCGAAAGAATCCCCATACTCGGGTCACTTCCGACCACGCGATACTGTATCAAGGCAGAGAATCTTGAAAGCTCAGAGTTCAACGCGAGTCGTCATCGTGGATAATTCCATGTGCAAAGGCGCATCCGCGGTTGCCTCTCTGAGTGCCAGAACATTTCTGTCCGTTAGTCATCGCACTCACCAATTGCGTTCCAGTTGCCTTGATACTTATACCGGTGGAAATGACGTAAAACTGGAGACGCGGGTCAAACTACATTTGCCATTCTTAAAGTAACACCCAATCGGGATTGGGTTTGTAATTTTGGCAAAAGTCATTTCATGAGTAACTTAGGTAAAGCCCCGAGTTGACTTCCAATCAGCTTTCCGCATAGGACCGACGATTTCTCACATCGTCCTTGTGTACATCTGACCAATCGCGCACGTGTCACGTTATGCGTTCCCTAATTCAGACGCCTCAAGGTGGATTGTAGTCAATCAATTGGAAAATGTTTGGGACCGATTGGGAAGTCATCGTTTCAGAGGGGTTAGGAACTGTGTATACAAAATAAGATGTAACGACTGTACGAAGGTTTGTATAGGTCAGACAGCCAGGGAATTGCACACCAGAATCGGTGTTCAGACCACCGAGAAACGCAGAGGAATACCAGGCATTAGTCAAAGATTCAGCAATGGAAGCGCATGCTGTAGACACTGGACATAGAATAGACTTAGAAATTGTGGACATCCTGAGACGGGGTTTAAGATTCCCACCACAGCGACTGGTGGCCGAGGCGATGGAAATCGCCAAGCATCCCAGTGTGAATAGAATAGAGGAGGTAGAACTTGCAAACGTGTGGAGAGCGGTCTTAGATCGGCCGAGATGACACGAGGTGTGCAGTTATCAGCAAAATCGCCTGGGTCTAAAAGTACAAAATCCAAGTAGAGTTAGGTCCTAGCGAGCGTATGGAAAGCGGTCTTAGATAAGCCGAGTTGACACGTGACGGTATGGTTGTCAATCATTAGAAAAACCGGGGGTAGGGGTGGAAACCCCAACCGACCAAAGGTCACAGCATCCCTCTTACACAACTATCTTAGCACTAGCTCACCCACACAGACGGACAGAAGGTTCAAACGAAGTTCAAGAGGAACCATCAAATGAACCGAACCAGAAGCACTAGACCCTAGGCTGCACCCACCGACCCAACACTTGTTCAACCACTCTAACACACTAAAATCACTCGGCCGACACCCAACAGAGATTTAGCTTGACTTAGCTGATTGGTTCTCCTTCCTCCTTAAATCTCGATCAACCTCGGAACCTAGTCACTTGGCCTGACGAAGCTTTTGTGCCAAAAGCGAAACATTGCCCAGCAAAAAATCCACCGATTGTTTACCAAACCCCTCTGAAACGATGGATTGTAATCACCTTGTTCATGCTTCCATCTCTCTTCCCGGCTACACAGACCATCGCTTATTTGTGTAGTCTCATTGCTACTTTCCTAATCACAGGGAGCCATCAGGCATGGCCAGTTTGGTCATCCGAGCCAAAACCGTGGTCAGTCGTAAGGTTTTGCGTTCTTTTAACCGTCCAGAGGTTAGGGAATATTTATGTTTTTCTTAAAAATGTTTGATCTTTTGGAAGACGTTCTCTGTATTCATTTGTAGTGACCTACAAGTAGTCCATTTAGGTGTACAGAGGGATTCATGAACCACGATGTCATAGAATGGTTACATCTTTTATTTTGACGATTCGAACAGCCTACTTTGGTGGTTCTCACAAAGGGAAACGAAACTACCGAGGTAGACAATCGATTATTGCACCCCATTTATGATCGTCTCTATACTTATGTAGGGCTACTTTACCATTCCACCCTGTGTTCCTTTTGACGTTCGATTGTAAAAAGTTTACCGATAAGTTTTATCAGACATCCCAACATGAAAAAAGTGCTGAAGATAGCGTTTTTCACCGTTTTTTTGCTGACTTAAAGTCAAGGCTTCTGTGACAAAGCATATATCGTCAAGTTTTTGCTGTAACTCATCACTCATCTGGCTGTTTCATACTTTATGCAAGTGCGGAAATTCAATTCCTGAGAATAGTAGTATCGAGCGCAGGAGGTGGCGATCGCAGCGGTGACGATTGGGCCTAGTTTGGTAGCTGTGATTAAATTTGATACAATGTATACACCAACTAGTCTATCATAGTCATCTCTTTTTTGCATTTCCTTTGTCATCTTTCAGACAGACACAGTCACCACTCGTCAGTGGTGATATTCGTCCAATCAGTCCCTGACAAACTGGAAGAATGTGGTGTACAGTTTCCACGAAAAGTGTGTCAACCTATGTATCATTATTGCGAATTATGTTTATTTCCGTCCTACCCTGCAACTATGCATGTTAAATATACCCTCGTCCCCTATGCTAGAGGATTGTGCTGACCCTTCCAAGTTTCGGGGATACAGTGTGTATGAGTTCACAGGAAACAGCTGTATCTAAGGTGTCCTAACTAAGCGGAGTTGGTATTCTTCCCCATGTAGGACCGATTATTCGGCGACAAATAAGTCGTGAAACAACTCATGTGCGCTTCAAGGACTTTCTTGCTTGTCGTGCTGCAGCCTAAGCGGAGAATTCTGTGCCCCCCCCCCCACGAGGCCTGCAGATATGTGCTGGGCGAAACCTTCCCTCACTTCCCATGCAGCTTCAATTGTTTTCTTTTTGCGCACAACGAACTTTCGAACAACCCAAATCGGTGTGCAGCAGTTGAGTTTGTTTGAAATCGCTTGTGTCACACTTATGCTTATGGTGGGATAGAGTAAACGACACATGCAAAATGACCGAATTCAGATCGAACGAAGGCACCTGGTCTATTGACTTGCTGAGCGAGGCACTGCGTCCGACCACGCCTTTCGCAGTTCACTTAGCGCTGAATGTGCTTTTTGCGAGAAAAAAAGGACGAGACAACTGACCAGCGCTGTGGATTTTGTCCCGCTATCGGTCTGACTCGCCGACCGTGCCACGTGCCACCATCTAAAACAAGGCCCAAAGTTCTCCACAGCCTACCAAGTGCGCGTGGTTTATTTTTTGGTCTAACTAACCAGGCGGTGCTTGTTGACTGGCAGACTGGTCAATTTAGTCTCGCATCATGAGCTACATGCGTTGTGTGTACAGATAACCAGCCGTCTGGACAGGTTGAGGCTCGAAAAATGCGCACAGGTTCTCACACCCCCCCTGAATCAACTAGGAAGCCATCTTCATTATGATCCGGGGTTATTTTAAGAATCACATGGAAACACCGATTTTTTCATATGAAAACATCTTGTAACTGAAGCGGAGGCACGTTTTTCATTGACAATCTCTACAACAGTGTGAAACACGCAAAAATACCATCAATCTAGTGCCCTAGTCTGACAAAAGAAATGCCGATATTCCTGGGAATAGGCAACTTTCCAATACATAATCCGTTTGTGCTTAATACATCTAATAGATTGGGAACTTGATGTGGGATGTAAGGTCATTTTTCAACGTCATTATTGCCAGGATCACAAAGTTCATTGCGCCACCTCTGTCGGGAGAATGACGTTTATCTGTACGTAAAGAGTGTTCTACTCACGCTCTAGCCCAAACGAAAGTGATAGGTGTACTGGTATGTGGGATGGGTGACAGGCGCAGCAGCATATAAATAATTTGTTTTGGAAATCGTCCGATCTATCTTGATTCACTAAAATATTTCTGCCCCAATGTAACTGTCAAACAAGCCAACTGGATCGGACCGATCGTGTCGCGAGCGTAGTTTCGCGTAAGACAAACAAACACTCGCAATCGCACTTTGCTGTCACACTGATGCCGGAAACAGACTTTAGAATCCGGTGAAGATGTTCCCACCACGAGGTTTATGGGTTTAGTAGTTCGCGTTAAATTGTATAAAAATATGCATTCCAAATGATGAAATTTTCTGGTGGTGTTGCAGTGGCAATAACTGCTGAGAACTTCTACTTCCATTGGAAGATATACAAGAAGAACAATACCATGGGCGTCCTGGAGGTGCAGGAGAACCAGACGATCTCTACTTTCCTAACGTGTTGTACTTTTTCGATGGTTTAGTGTGTTTTTTGCACGGTGCGCTTAGCTGAGTTATGAGAAGGGGCGGTAAAAGACGCGCTAATCACAGTCTTTATTTTCGCCCTCAATATGGCTTATAGGTACCAGCATACTGAAATCCGACCACACAAGACTACCTGTGTCATATCCAGCAGGAAGTTAGAAATTCGAGACCATGAATTTCACTTTGGCCAACATACGGTCGCCTGATGCAATCAACCACATGCAGTTGCGACTCACCCTGTGTTTGATAGAGGGCATCGCACACTCAAAAGACGCTCAATGTATTCACATCTAATTCACTGATTGCTTCAAGAACCCAAATTAGTCTATGAATGTAGCACTTAACAGAGCAATAGGAAAGTTCTTCCCAGAAAACCTCATGAGTCCAGGATTTCTTTTGGAGTTCATGACTTGGCGGCCCCGACAGACATGTTTCCCAGATCCCGTGTTCCACTTAGTTGAACAGTAGGTAGTTTGTCATTCTTGTTCCGCCATTTCTCACGTTCGTTTTGCAAGAATCTGTCATACGGACTGTCGCAGAGACACTTCAATTTCCCGCGTATGAAAAGTAATTCCACCAGCTCTATCCCGCGGTCTGTTTTGAAGGGGCTGAAAAGTCAGAATAATCCAGGTTGTTATGGCTAGAAAAAAACTTCGAGGTGGAAACTGTTCGCATGACTGAGTGGGTCATGTCGATGTATCCATTTTATTGGGGAGCCTTCGAGAACATGAGTCCTAAAGCCAATTACTTATCAGAAACAAACTCATGACCATACGATCCACACGCAGCAAAAGTCACGCGCACACAACAATGGTTAACTGGGTCAGCCGGAAGCCACTAGCTCCAAACGAGAGACAGTGCGTGGAATTAGTTGCGCCCTCATGTAATGTCTAGAGTGAACTGAAGGAACCATTCAGCTGGTGGTGATAGAGGAATTAATTCACACTAGTTATTTCTATCACAGACCGAGAATCGCACCAAGAATTTGATACAAATAAGTGTTCATTGCCGAAAGAAACGTTGTAGGAAGACTGTATTGAACACTTTTCTTATAGAAACAAACTGTTTGGAGTGAGAGCGACGGGAGCCCTTTCAAATACACTGAAGAAGACTTCCTCTGCTCTGCTCCTAGTTGAGAATTAGCTGGGATGTTAATGTGTCAGTCTGCAGTCTGCCTGCTTAGATCGCTCAAGCTTTTTCTTACCATCGTCGAGATATAGATGCTGAGAAATCGTTAGCGAACGTCTAAGAATAAACACTGTGAAAAACCAAACATTTCGCGCTCACATGACATTCGTTTGAACAGTCCCCCTCCTGTCCTCTCGTATTCATTCTGGTGAGTCTGCACTAAAAGGAAGAAGCACTGGATTCGAGTTTCGCTCTTACTGGAGGTCATCAGCAATGCACATCCTCGGCCGTTTCGCGGATTGAACTCCGCATATCTGAAATGTGAGGTGAGTGCATGTTGGATCCACCTGAACAGGGGATTGTGTACACGTTTGAGCGATGTGGTTGGTTCGCCCGACGACTTTATGACGGTCTAGTGATGATGGTTGCATCAGGACAAGAGTAGGACTGTTCATAAGAGAGTGAACCATAAACACGCACAGATGGGTTTCGCGTATAGGATGAAATCTCCACAAAAGATGTGATACTATTTACACGTGACTTCCAGTAAGCAAAGACTTTATGACGGTCTAGTGATGATGGTTGCATCAGGACAAGAGTAGGACTGTTCATAAGAGAGTGAACCATAAACACGCACAGATGGGTTTCGCGTATAGGATGAAATCTCCACAAAAGATGTGATACTATTTACACGTGACTTCCAGTAAGCAAACGTGTTTATGGATCATAGGTTGAAGAACGCTAAAAAAAACTCCCAAGACCGGAATTATCAAAACTCAGATGAATACAGTACTAATGATTTGGTGAAATAACTACTCAGGAATTTGCATAACTCAAATGGTCAAGGATCATTGAAAATGCTCTAAGATCGATAAAATGACAACCGCAGTCATCAATAACACGGCATCCGTCAATAAAAGTGAATATCATCACTTCGAAATGCACTCATTTGCACGTCAATTTGGTTTGCACGGGAGAGTGGAGTGGATTCCAGCTGGATCCCTTTTTTGTGACATTCATCTTCAACCGAAAATGCCGCAGCAAGCCGCCGGATGTTTCCGTTGGTAGAATACGCCAGTATCGCAATACATAGTATTTACGTAACACATGGCCATAAGTTTGAAGAGTTTTCAGCAACCTCATGAGTAGTGTGTCACATCTCTTCGAGTTCAGTCGTGGTGAAATACCTTTTAAGTAGGTCCGAATATGCATCTATGAATAGCAGCGAATGGCATTTAAATGCACCTAATAATGAATAAAAACCTTAGGTAGGTAGTCTCACTCAAGTGTATAAGTCAAGCAGATTGATGTATGGTTTTGAATAGTATAGTATATAGCATAGTATGTACAGTGTGTAGTATAGTATATATCGTATATAGTATGTATACTATAGTATATGGTGTATATATAGTATAATATGCAATATAGCATAGTATGTATAGTTTTAAATCAGCGAAAACCATAATCATCAATCGAATGACGTAATAACCGTGGGGTCTCCTTTTTATCCTACGTTGATCAATATCTGTATGGCCAAGCTGAGAAACCTCACTTAAGAAAAAGATAGTATCCTTGCCTTTCTATCTTGGAAATGTGGATAGTACGTTTCCAAATACGCACTGGGATGACAGGAAAACGGCACGGATTGGAGCGTATGCTAAATTCCACAGCCAGGTGCTTACAAGGATCAAGTAGCATCACATGCCTTGTGCTGATTGCCGAACTGCCAGAACAAGCTGACATCCTCATCGGAACACTACTCATAAGGCTGCTGAAAACTCTTCGACAACACCCGACTGGTTTCGCCCTCCTTGGGATTCATCAGGTAGCTGTGGTTTCTGAGGTTCCATCAACCTCATGTCCTACTTTAACCCAAGAAGTCGAACAGTTTTCAGCAACCGTATTAGTAGTGTTCCGACAAGAAAATACACTACGATTTCGCATATTGTACTAGCTGAAACATGAAGCTGTCTCAGTGCAGCACATTCATTCACCGGATAATATCGACAGATAACGAGAGATTCAGCTGGGATTCTGTTGAGTTTTCTGTTAATGAAATCGGTGTGCAAATATGTGTATTTTGCGAAAGTGACACCCAGT